AAAATGAAATGCTGGTATTAAACATGATGATGACCTAATAAAGGGCAGCGAGAAGTCAACTATGCCTAACTCTAAAGCTAGGGGGTCACAATCTTCTACTCTGCAATATTTCTGTCCTTTTTTTTTTTTTTTTGGCTTTTGAACGAATCAAAACCATTAATTTTTCTCGTCTTCAATTGCCGTTGTACTCCAACCAACCGATTATTGAAATCACGCTACCATAAAAAATTCACAATGCCTTGCAAGAGTCCTTTTACTTTTTGTTTAAAGATTCATTTGGGAGAAAGGTTGTTCAGCAAGGAACATAATGCTGCAAATTGCGAAATTAGATACTTGGACGCATTTATCTTCCAAAACAAAAACGCTTTTGGAACGATTATATTAGTGGCTGCTAGCCGTCGAAGAAACAAAAAAAGAAAAAAAAGAAAAAGGACTTTCTGTAAAAGATGATGGGTCTAGATACCCGTCCCGTCAATAAATGCCGCAATTTTCAGAATTGTAAACACGTGAAGCTTCTGTAGTCGGAAACCATTATTTTTAATTGGGCGTTGGAAGTTGGAGGAAGACCAAAACATTGATTGATACGGGAAAATGCATTTCCACGCAACCCCCGCCAACTCTAATCCTCTTCCTTGGTAGTTGACTCCGGCTAATTTGCGCCAAAGTAATCAATCCATCATCAAGGAAGGCGGAAACCTTAATCATATGTTGTTGGCGTCGAAAGATCCCCGATGAAGTGCATTTTCCTAGTCTCCAACGCTGGGACCATGGCTCGAAGTCTCGGCGAGATCGAGATGACTCGGTCGAGTCGTCACCGTCTCGGTCCCTATCGATATGATATCGTGACGAAACGATACCGAGATACTTGACTCGTCGAGAAATCAGTCGAGACGTCACTGCGACGGATTGACTCGGCCGAGTCACATCGAGTTATCCCGAGTTAAGACAAGAAATCGGCCGAGTTACACCGTGACGGATTGACTCGACCATTTCTTTTGCTATTTTTTTATTATTTTTATTTAGTATACTTTTTTTATATTATTAACAATTTTTAGAATATTAAATACTTTAAAATTTGCGTCTCACCGAGACCGCGATCAATTTGTCGAGACTGATGTAGAACGTTTCGGACCGTGACCGTGAACCATGGCTGGGACACGATTCGGTCCCCGGTAAAAGGTTCTCTGAACATTATGGGACATGATTTTCTTAATTGTGTTAAAAACAAATCACACTCATCAAGCAAGCAGGCAAGCCATTCTGGCTGCTTCTAGTATTAATGAATTAGCACCAACGCTTCAACTTCTTGTGCCGCTTCAAAGCATTCGACAGACAAGAAAAATAACAATAAAGGAAGACGTAAACCCTGAGGAAAAGTCCTGTGGTTGGAGTCGCAGCCACATATCTGTCTAAAATGGACCCTGGACTCAGTCACGAATGCCTCCTTTTACCAGTTCTAAACGATATCATTAATCTCTCTCCCAAGCTTACTTTTGGGTTGTAAAAGCTTCAACAAAAAAAAAAGGATAAAAAAAAATGTCAAAACATGCATTTAAATAGAAACGTCCCTTTTTCCTTACCTTTCACCCGTAGCCTTCTTTTTTTTTTTTTTTTATCGACACAAGGGTGTCCGGGTGAATCCTTACGGAGTCCGACGAATCCCCTACGACCCGGGCCCGGCGCCCCAACCCGGCCCGAACACGTTAAGTGCGCGGAGGAATCCAGCCGAACGGAGACTCGAACTTGTGACCTCAAGATTCACTGGTGAGAGGCGCTGCGCTGGACCATTCACGCGAGGGGCCGTAACATTCACTTTTGCCCTTATATAGAGAGTAATTAAACAAGCACAAATACATAGACTTGCCATGTAGGAATTTTTTTCAGGTCATTGCCTTTCGATATAAGATGGGGTTAATAATGAAATTTGTTACAGATTTTCGGCATCAATTATGATAATTTTCTCAAAACCTAGATCGTTAAAAATAGTGAAAATATTCTATATAATGTGAACATTCCTCCACTCGAAAGTTTTCTTTTAGTTCAAAGTGATCAATAAGTAGAAGAAGGACAGATGATTCGTGCAAAAACATATACTTGAGTTTCAAAGAGAAGGTTGGAAAGCATATTTATCTTGACTAAGACATAGAAATGCACCAGATTATTATTTATGCGTATCATGCGCCCTAATTTACATACAAAAAAAAAAAAAACAAGTCATTCATGAATATTGCCATGCAAATCGGGTGTTTCACTCGCACAAGCGACGCATGTTCTTTATTTTTCACTTTCATATGTGGGCTGCTAGTCCGATCCAAGATGACATTTCGGAAACAGTGCAAAGTTGGTCCGTGTGACGTGGCAACAGTACAAAACTGAAGAATGACTGTTGAGTGTTGACTAGGGAGTTCTTTGGTTGGTGACGAACCTAAGGCCAGCAACCACCAAACAAGCCCACGGAAAAGGTTGGTGACTGCTACTTTTATATCCAGTACACATTTTTTGGGATTTGTGGCTTGGCGCCCTTCTTTTGCATGAAGGTCGATTACGCTTGTGTAATACTGCTCAAAAACTGGTTAGTCCATCACTCGTTTAGAGTTTGCGTTACTATCTATGATTAGTTTCTTCTAGGCAAAAATTCATTGTTTCAGCCAATTTCATCTAATTCCAAGTGTACTTATTCACTAAACAAATACACTAAATCTCTAACCATATATAATTGTTCATAATATCAAAATATAAATATTATATATATAGATAATTAAAAGGCCAGACTTATCGAATTTAAACCTAATAAAACCCAAACTCAGCTCATATTTAATTTGAACCTAATTTTTAGGTTCAAACTCAGCTCAACTCACTAAATGCTCAGGTTCATCGGATTTTTTATCGGACCGAACGGGCCAAATTAAGCTGACTCAATCCCATTGACAGTCCTTAAAAAAAAAAAAATAATCACAAAGGCTGCGGACTAGGCCCAGCAGCCTGCAAGTTTTTTTTTTTTTTTTTTTAAAAAAGATGGTTAAGCTGCAAGCTGTCAACCGGATTTTGGTAAATTTTTCTGGTAGCTGCAGGCATAGTTAAGCTAACATTTCTTAACTTTTGGTTGACAGCCTGCAGCTTAAATGTTTCTGACATTTCTTAATCTTACCAAAAAAATGTTACCAAAAAAACTTTTGGTAAATGTTTCTGACATCGGATTTTGTTCCGTGTTTGTTAATCATGCAATTAGCCATCCACCACATTATTTAATTTAATTTTAGGGATAATTATAGAAACCTCCCCGCTTTAGATTTTTAACAATTGCAGCCACCTCCCCTAAGATTTGAAAAATTAGGGAAACCTGGAAAGAGGTGGCCTGCATTTGTCAGAAACTTCAAGAAGGTTTCTGAAATTATCCCTTAATTTTACTTTCACAGAGGTATCTCGTATTGCGACTTCTTTGAGAACAATATATGAGCTTTTTGCACCGCAGAAATCCAGCTAATTACTTAGAATATAGCTAAAAAAAAAAAAAAAAATCGGACATTTATTAGTCTGACACAGGCTAGGTATAAATCTATTGGCCCAACACCTAACACCAAATTTTTTTTCTTTAAATTTTTTTAAAAAGCTGACAGGCTGCCTGGCTTTTGCTTTGACTCGCTGCCTCCAAAAAGTACAAAACAAAGCTTGGACAAAAAAGGAAAAGGCTAGGCCGAAAAATCTCAGTATGCCTTAGCATCCCGTGGCTAGCTACTTAAGAACCAAACAAAAAAGCCTGCAATCATGTGATATTAGCTTAATGCAATCCACTTTATTTGTTAAGTTAGTTGATAATTATTTTATGTTATTTAGTATATGATTAGTTTTATTAGTTTAATGGATTAATTAGTTTAATTACTTGAATGAATTAATTTTAAGAGGTTCGATTAAAATGCATTTAATTAGGTTTAATTTGTTATTTATTAAATTATACATTTATTTGTTATAAATGATTTAATTATAATGCATTATTTGTTGTTATTTGTTATACTATTTGTTATTCTTTGTTTTTATTTAATTACACTTTATTTGTTATTATTTCCTATAATTATAGAATCGTAATTATTTATTTATTTGTTATAAATTATATATATTTTGATTCAATTAATTAATTATTCAAATAAGCATAAAAGGGGAACAAAAAAATGCCAGAGAAAAAAGAGTTTACAATAGTATAGGTATAATTGTGTCCAATGCAGGATAAAGCGAGACAAAAAATTTGTTAGGAGCTAAAGTGAAAAATGATATATATTTTAAGGAAATTAATTATGATTATCGCTTATTTCTTATGCTCAATTTGTAACAGGTCCAAATCATCAAAAGTAGCGTCCTCCTACCTGTTCATGGATTCATGATCTTCATTGTCCAATGACCCAACAAGACTAAAAAACATCACTTTAAAGTTCCTCCGCACCCTTAACAAATGCTTCTGATACTTTTTCATGATATTATTTTTTCATTGTCCAAAAATTGAGCCCTTTTACTGAGAGCTACTCGCGGATGTTAGGAGTTACCTGAACCATTCATATTCCTCCCTTCCCACCCTCCGCTGTTATTTTCCCCGTTGGTTCACCAAAAAACCCGAAGTGCTGATTTTGGTACCAAGACTGGGAATTTTGTAGTGGGAAAGTTTGAGTCAAGAAGTGTTATTGTTAACGTACGCTAAGAATTCCTAAAGCTAGCCACAGGATGCTAAGGCATACTGAGATTCCGCCAGCCTAGCCTTTCCATTTTTTGTCCAACAGTAGGCTTTGTTTTGTACATTTTGGAGGCAGCGAGTCAAACCAAAAGCCCAAGCCCGGCAGCCTGCCAGCTTTTCAAAAAAATTCGATCAGGTGCCGGGCTGTTTTTGAAAAAAAATTTCGGTGTCAGCAGCCCGCACCAATAGATTTGCACCCAGACCAACAACTGTCCGACTTTTCTTTTTTTTTTTTACCCATATTCTAAGTAATTAGCCCAGAAATCCTGACACAGTAGGTGGATAATATATGTCAGTGATCAAAAAGAAATTGAAGGCAAATCAAGAACACAGTTGGGATCAACTATGAGAATCAGTCCAAGACTCTGAGAAGCCAGTCAGGAGAAATAAAATGATTGCATATCCAAGCATTACACTTCCACCCCAAAGATCACACATGATTATACAACATGTAGTAGCTCTTTGTGTAGTAGCTCTTTGCGTTGAGACATGGGAACTCCTCTTTCGATAGAAAGCAACCGACGACCTAAGAGGCCTATAAAGATAATTAGTGCCGCTACTAACAAGAAAGTACCCGCTAGTGATACAACCTTGTCTAGAAAGATACAAAACAAGGAACAGAAAAGGAAGTAATTTCACCTGTTAACAGACTTGCAAGCTCGCTTAAATTGTATCAGAACCATTTGCCTCTTCATCCAGCATCTGCACCACCTGTGCAACACCAGCAGCAAGTTCTTTCTGGATGACAGCATCGGGCATATCAAATGTCCTCCTCTTCAGGGACAGGGATCTTCCAGCAGGTTGGGGATCCACAACATCAAGCATTGCCTCCAACTCATCCACCATAGACTTTTTGGCAGCTCGAACTAGCACATCAGCTCCCTAGCAAAGATGACGACAATTCACATCCACAGGGCATTCATAATCTAAGAACTTGCATTTGCTAGAGATAAATTTGTATCTAGATTTCACACGAGTACAGCCCAAGGAAAGCCACACTAAAGTTGAAAGAATGGTTTACACCAATTGTCATAGCACGCGGAAATGGTGACCCAAAACTCTCAAGAGTCTTTCCCATCGACAGAAAAGGGCAAACACAACTGAAATAAGTTCAAAATCGTACTACACTTAAAAAATCTAGACTGCTCTCAAGCAGACATGGAGCAGCAACACTCTAATAGTTATTTCTGTGCTGACCCAAAAAGGCAAACTCGAGAAGTGAGTTCAAGATTTTACTACACCATGCTAGAAAACAAGGGCTTGGAGAAAATTTTGAGCTGCTTCTCTGCATACACGCAAGCAGAGTCGCTGGAGAAGGAAGCGATAAGCAATGTTTATAGAGCTAGAGTTGGAGAACTATTAGATTCAAGCATCCAGTCATAAAAAGGTGCAGTAATTATCAGAGATGACCTAAAATGGCCTCCACGTCCAAATCTGTTTTAAAGACGTTTGCATCTTTCCATTAAGAGTCTTCATTTGACTAAAGGGAGTGATCTGTTACCCTTTAGGTTGATTCAGTCTTAATACAGCTTAAAATAATTAAAAATTGCTAGAAAATATTACTGGAAAACAGATAACTCATGCAGTACGCTCAAATAGTTGCACCTATCACTAAGTTTAAACAATATTGCATTTCGCAGCCAAAAACATAATTGACATACAGGGAAAAACCAAAATAGCAAATGGCGTTAAACTGTTAAGCTCCCCACACCTTTTTTCCAGACTTTACATCACATAATAAACATACGCGCATAAGTTCGTAATAAATGTAAACATATTAGCCCACAAGAGTAGGAAGTATCATCTTTTACCTCAATGGCATCAACCGTGAGGAGAAGCACGATGATCTTTTCGGAGAACCTCTGACGCTCCTCGGTATCCCGGGCCAGGCGGCGGCGGTAAGAGAAGTTGTTGAACAAAGCTCTAATCTCCTTGAGCTTAGACTTTGCAATGGCCAACTCCCGAAGGGCCCGCAATGCCTTGGACCTCTTTATCAGATAAGCCTTGAAGCTCAGCTGTATCTTTATAGCAGCATCATTTGGAGACAACTCCTTCCTCTTCCCCCTTGACCTGTCCACTCTCCTCGCAAATGCCTAATTCAAACAAATCAATTTTTTCTTTTAAAAAATTATTTTGATAAAAATGGCCAATGTAATGATAATTAACCCGTGATTACTGAAAAGTTAAAGGAAGTGAACCCCATGTTTAACAAGTTAAGCTCGCGGAAACGAAACAAGGGCTCATTTAAAATTGCCAATAGTAATAATTTGACAGATTAATGTTTTACGGACCTGTCTCAAGACGAGGGCCCCATGATGGGATGGTTCCTCTTGGATCTCAACTATACGGGTGGAGCATCCACCCGTGGATTTCTCGGATTTGTCCCTCTTCTTCTTATCTTTCTTTTCTACATCTTTTTTCTCTTTTCCGCTGCTCTCGCCTGCATCGCCAGTTGATGCAGTGAAGGTGTATTTCCGGGAGATGGGAGAATCCTCGCCCTTGCCTTTAATCTCGGCCGTGTACTTGTAGTTCTTCTCCAGATGTCCCTTCTTTTTCCCATCCTTAATCTCAGACGTCCATTTATACTTCCGGTCAACCCCGTCCTCTTCCGGAGCCTTGATCTCCGCAGTCCACGTGTACTTCCTCTCCCCGACCTTCGACTTCTTCTCTTTAGCCAATCGGTCAAAGCTTAGCTCCAGAGCAGAGACGCGATCGCAGAGCCTCTGGAGATAGAACTCGGTTCGGAGTCCGACCTGATCGACGCGGTGCTGGACTCGGCGAGTGGAGATGCAGAAAGGGGTTTTCTCGACCTGGGTCAGATCGGTGATGGTGTGGAATGTATCGAAGAGAGAGGGAGAAGGAAAATCAAGAAGAGCGGGGAGAGGTTTAGGTGCGGGGTTTAGGAGATCGAGAGTGAAGTCGAGCTCGTGTTCGAGGGGAAATGACGGAAAATATGGGTGGTCTAGAGTGAGGGATTTGGTGGAGAAAAGAGAGGTCTCCTTCTCAAAGAAAGCTGGAAGAAATGGTGAGTGGTCGATGAGTTCAAATCTCCGGAAACTGCTCATCTTTCTATCTTTCTTTCTTTTCCTTTTTTTCGTTTCTTAGCTGCAATGGATCTCCTGGAAGTACGAAAACCTGGAGGCGAAGAGCAATAGAAATCAAAGCAGGGTGTGCACGGTGAGAGATACGCGGGTTGAAAGGGTTTATTGAGTTTTACTGATGAGTAGAAATCAAAGCAGGGCGTGCAGGGTGAGAGATGAGAGGAGAAAGTTGAAAGAGTTTATTGAGTTTTAATAATGAGGGGTAAAATGCAAAGTAGTCGCCCGTGGATGGGTCAACCTACACAAAAGTCCCGTATAATTTCAAAATATACACAGTCTAACCCCTAGTCGTTTAAACTAATTTTGAATGAAATAACCACAGAAATCGTAAAAAATAACTGGGACGGACGAAATGACACTAGTGCTATTACTCTCGTATATACATAAGCCAAAAAACACATTTTTTTCCTTCCTCAACAATCAGCCTTCACAATCAACAGTCATTTGGATTTGAACCGTTAGTCATCGTCAAAGATTTTAAATCTTGATCCCTGAAAAATCAAAAATTCAAACTTTGCCGCTTATTATTTGACACAATATGTGGAGTGTGTTTGGAATTTTTTTTTTATCGACGCAGAGGTGTCCGGGTCAATCCTTACGGGACCCGACTAATCCCCTGCGGCTCGAACCCGGCGCCCCAACCTGACCAATGCACGATAAGTGCACAGGCGTTTCCATAGCGCAGTTTCGAACCCAGAATCTAAATGTCCCAAGGGAACGCTGTTATCATGTGGCTAAACTCGTGGGGGCAATTATTTCATAGCGTAGTTTGGATTGCCAATTATTTCACTTTATTTATATCTTATTTACACACACTGATTTACTTGCATCATCAACACATTTTTCAATTACTTTTTTATCTCGCATACATTAAACAAAATTATTTCAAATAATTTACAATCCAAACACATTCTGTGGTTTCTTCATATTTATACAGGTACGTAGTACACTCGTTTGATACAATGATGAATCAGTTTCTGTCAACTCTCTTATAGGTTCAATTAGGCCTCCGCTTCTAGATTAAACTAGAATAAGAATAGAGTATATAAGTAATAAATAACGAAAAAAAAATTCACCCTCTACCGCAAATTACCACCTTTTTGCCACCACCACTTTCAATCTTTCGTCACCATCATTCCCTCCACCACTGCTCCCTTTCTTTTCTTCTTTCTTCTTTTTATTTTCACTTCCTCTTCTTCCTTCTTCCTCTTCCTTCCCTCGATGTTCCTCCTCTTTCCTCACAACCTATTTTCCCAATATCATAAAATGGCAGGGAAGGGGAGAAGAAGGGTAAAGGAAAAAAGGAATAAGAGAATGAGAGGATACTGATGAAAGGAAGGGTGGTGGTGACAAAAGGTGGGAATGGTAGTGGAGGAAAAGGAGGATGGTATTTTATTTATATATTTTTTAATTATCTATAAAAATAATGTGAATTGTATTTGAGATTTTTATTTTATTTTATATATAGAAATAATGTGAGTTCTATTTTAAAATTTTTGAATTATTTTTGGAAGTTTTATTAAGCTCTAAGAATATAATAAATATATCAACTATAAATTTATTTAAAAAAACTATTTTTCATTACAAATACATGCAAAATAGGTGCGCGTATCTCAGATACATTAATTCAAAATATTTTTTATTATTTTTTAAAATTAGTTCAAATTACAAAATATTGGAGTGTATATAATTTAAAACTATAGGGACTTTTCTACAAATTGGCCTAACTATTGGGAGGCGTTTTGTCCCGTGATGAGAGAAGGAAAGGACGAGTTTTAAAAAAAGGATGAAAAAGAGGAGCTCAATCAAAGGTTGGTGGCCACCACCTAAGTGGATGGAGTGAGAGGCAAGGGTTCAAATCTTGCTTCGCACCAAAAAATATCACATCTAAATGATTTGTTTCTAAAAAAATTCAGGCGAGTGTGCTTTGCATTCGTCTGTCCGCCTCCTCCTCTTAATGTAGGATATAATAGGTTTATTCTTTCCAAAAAAAAAAAAATAAGTAGCTCCATCATTCTTAGTGTAGTATGATAGAATAGATTTATCCTCCAAAAAAAAAAAAAAAAAAAAAAAAAAAAGAGGAGCTCCATCGCTTATCATGTAAAAAGTGAAAACTGGAAAGTGATAAAAATAGAGCTTTGAAGTCAAAAGAAGGTCGGATATCGAGATGAGAGATTTGAAGGATAAAATTGGATTTCCAAATGAGTATGGTGATGCCAGCTAGATTACAATAACTATCTTTGGCTTCTTTCGAAAAGAAAGAAAACCTCTTTTTTTTCTGGCCAAGTCCGAAATATATATAAATAGATTACTATCGTATATTTGCTAACGTAAATAACCCTTTGAAACGAGAAAATAAAACCACAACTCGCTATAAACATATTATTATTATGCCATAATTATTTCACTCGCAAATGCAAGACTATATAATTGAACTGAATTGCATTTCTTCAACTTAATATACAATCGAACAGCGAAGAATTTGACAAGGTACAAAGTACAGGATATTTGTTAGTTTCACATGAATGTGCAAGTAATAATTTTTGAAAGGACATGAATATTCGCACTTTCATTTTAGTTTATAACACTTAATTTTATTCAATAAATAATATATAGTGTTAAATGCTAATTGAAAAATACAAATATCAATTTTCTTTTCAAAATTTATAAATTGATATTATTTGATTTGTACTTTATTTATATCTTATTTATATATATTAATTTATTTACATAATTAATATATTTTTAATTATATTTTATCTCATATATATAGTATAAAAAAGTAATGCAATATTTTTTTCCCATGGCTAATTCGCGCGATTGCTTGCACGTTGTTGGGAACTTGGTGGTGGATTTGGTGGGATTTCGCCAACGCAAAACTGTGGATGTTGTTCATTATGAGAACCGCCGCGTAAAATTAGAGACTGCTGGAACGACAATGGGCCTATGGGGGCACTTAAATTACGGAAACAGACAAGATTTTGTGCATAGACGAGAGAATCTTTGATGTGTACAAGCTGAGTGGGACTTTGATGGGATTTGACAATAATGGCAGAGCATGTGGGCTATCTGACTTCAACAGTCGGGTTCCCTTCAAGAAAACAGTCGTTGTAGGTTTACTAATTTAATAAGGAAAGATGCGATACTGCTGCTGATCTCCATCAAGGATAATTACACAACCCTCCCCTGAGGTTTATAGCAATTGCAAGCACCTCCCCTTAAGCACCGTTTAGGTAACCATATAGAGTCACAGACTCAATATATTGCATTTTCCTTCAAAAATCCTAGTATATCCTTATTGGCATAACGACAAAGAGGAAAAAATTAGTTTAATCATGCACATTTTGTCTTTCTAAAGGAATAATTTCAGAAACATCCCTTGAGATTTCTCACAATCTCACTACCTTCCCCCGAGATGTTTAAAATATTGAAAACCTCCACTAAAACTAATTAGTTATTAACAAATTAGCCCAATTCAAATACTATAAAATTGATATTATGAGAGAGAAAATAATTTGATTCCATAACTATCCTCAAATTTTGTAGTAGGTAGTTAATTTACCATTAACAATATATATCTATTTTAACTTTATCAAATGCAAAAGAGTGTAAATGAATTTGCTTATAAAGCAAGGCTTCAATTTCAATATTGTATAGCTATTACCACATTCATAAAATGTAAACAAAATATCAACTTTTTAATTGTACAACAAGTTTAGTAATTAAAAATCTCATCTACATATTTCACATGTAATATTACGCTATTTCATATATTATAACACATCAGTTGCATATTCTGCTATAAGAGAAACGAAGCATGCAAAACCTGCTACAACCAATATTTCAGATTAAAAAAAATCATTGTTGAATAATCACATACAAGAAAAAAATTGTCAAAAGTTTTTTGATTTAATAACATACAACCAACAATCTTTACCTATATTTCATACAACAACAACATCTATTTTTTATGACAATAAAAGTAACAATTAGAATTAAAAAAGAAAAAAAATACTATAATTGAATACCAATCATCAAATGGAGTAGATCATATAGAACATAATACAAACTATATAATGCCATATTCTTTCATTTTTTTTTGTTTGATCCAAGTTATTTTTCTTCATTTACAGGGTCACTATTAAGCATGATAATCAAGAATTACCTTAACATCTGTAATCAAATAATAAAAATTTTCAAATTTTAAGATTAAAAAAATTTTAGATGTTGACTTTGAGATTTTTACAATCACCAAAATTTTGAGAAAATTTTAAGGGCAATTTTTTTCTTCAAGTCTCCTAAATCCTTATATATGCCTAAAGAATCTCTATTTTTCTTATTCCACAAAAATCACTATAGTCTGAATCATTGCCTAGACTCTCGCACATCAATTATTAATCACAGAAAAGTACTTATATTTGGCTCCCCTTTTATAATGGCATATTAAAAATTTACAAAAAAAATTATAAATTGTTATTATTTATGTTAAACCAATTAATAAAAATTTAACTAATCATGTGAAATAATTGCAAAATATCTTTTGAGTTGTGTGGGTAATTAAGTTATTTCACGGCGATTGATGTAACAATTGAACCCCAATGACCTGACATTAGAGGTTTTTGCTATTTTTGAAACCTCAAAAAAGGACAGTGAGACTATCAAAAACTTTAGGGGAGGTATTTGAAATTATCTATTTTTCTAAAACCACTACAAACCTGTCACAATACCAAGTCAATCGAGCAAAATTTTATTTATAACTCAGTCTTCTTTTCAAGTGATTTAAACAATATTTGTGGCTTCAAAATCCTTTTGCTGCCTGAAGAAGCACGGAACTTCCCCTGGGAGAGCTGACCTGATCAGCTCGGCGTGCTGATGGAAGAGCTGATCCTAAGCCAGCAAAACAGAAAGGGTGAGCTGACAGAGGGGGCCCGAGGGTTGTCCCCGAGGGCCAAGTTAGTTTTCCGGTGAGTAAGGTTCACGGGAAGTAGTGATAGCCTCGGGTAAATTGCCAATAGTGAGCGTACCTTGTACAGTTGACGTGTGCTACCATTTATACCTGCGAGGGAGTCCGACCTCTTCGGGATGAACCCTTGTCCCATCGGGAGCCCTAGTGGTGCGGTCCAGGTCGGCTGCCAGGGGCCAGGGGCCGAAGCCCAGCTCGGCCTTGTCTGGGCTGCCACGTGTCCAGGTCCAAGACGGGGCCACTGCACTAGCCCCCTTGATTAGGTAGACTGTCAGGCCGACCTAATCAATCTCTGCCACGTGGGAGGCCAGGGCCGCGCACTGCCCTGCCCAGGTCACTTCTGGCACAGTGCTGTTGCAGGGGCGCTGCGCCCGCGTCATTTCAGTTGTCACGCCTCTTCGGTTTCCGTACCAGCATTAAATGCTTCTGATTCCAGAGTACAGACAACTGGACATTCTGGTCTACCTTACGCTAGAAACAGGCACAGGTTGGAGAAGTGCCAAGTATGGGGTACCTCAGATCCGTTCATGTCGGCGAGCTTGCAGTAACCGGCTTGACCTACCTCAAGGACCTTGTAGGGGCCCTCCCAATTTGGGTCGAGCTTGTTGGAACTGTGAGCTCTGCTGATCGAGTTCTTTCGCAAGACCAGGTCTCCTGGCTGGAACTGCGTGCTCCTTACTCGGGCGTTGTGGTAGCGGGCGAGCTGGCTTTTGTACTTAGCCATCCGAATGGCTGCTTCCTCCCGCTTAACCTCAAGCATGTCTAAGTTGCACCGCAACTCTTCGTCGTTGGATGTTGCCACGAAATTCTGTGTTCGGGGTCAGGGGAGACCGATCTCTGCAGGGACCACTGCTTCTACCCCGTAAGTGAGGGAGAACGGGGTCTCATGGGTGGCTGTCTTGGGCGTGGTGCGGTAAGCCCAGAGGACGCTAATGAGCTCTTCCAACCAGTTGGATTGGGTGGACTCCAATCTAGTTTTCAACCCTTACAGGACAGTTCGGTTAGCGTTCTCCACCTGACCATTGGCCTGGGGGTGACCCACCGACGTGAAGTGTTGACTGATCCCGAGCTCGGCGTACCAGCTCCGGAAAGGGCTCTCGGCGAACTGGCGGCCGTTGTCGGATATCAGGACGTGCAAAATTTTGAAGCGGCAAACTATGTTCCTCCAGAAGAATTTCTGAATTGCCTTTCCAGAGATAGAGACCAGGGGCTCCGCCTCCACCCACTTTGTGAAGTAGTCTATTGCCACCACGAGATGTTCATATCTTCCCGGGGCTCGGGGGAAAGGACCTAGGAGGTCTATCTCCCATTGAGCGAAGGGCCAAGGACTGTGGATGGGAAGCATCTCCCGAGCTGGCTGATTGCGCAGCGAAGCGTGGACCTGGTAAGCTCGGCATTTTTGGACCAAATCTGCCGCGTCTCGGAAGACGGAGGGCCCATAGTAGGCCAAAAGGAGGCACTTTTTGGCCAACACCCAGGACCCGACGTGTGCCGCACATATACCTTCATGGATTTCGCGCAGAACGTAGTCACCTTCCTCGGGCGTCACGCACTTTAGCCAGGGGGACAAGTACGACCTCCCATAAAGGGTTCCCCCGGCGTAGGCGTACTTGGCAGCTCGGATTTGGATTCGGCGAGCCTCGGTTTTGTTCTCGGGGAGGGCACCCGAGCTGAGAAAAAGTCAATGAGTGGAGCCATCCAAGTGGCCGAACTGTCTATCGCCAGGACCTGGACCTGGTCGATACTTTTCTGCTTCACCACCTCTACCAAGACCTCCTTGCTCAGGTGGGCGAACGAGAAGGACGCCAGCTTGGACAAGGCGTCCGCACTTGTTTTGGGACTTTGGCACCCGCTCAATCTCAAAGGTCTCGAACAGGGCTACCGCCTCTCGTACCTTAGCCAGGTATTTCTTCATTACCTCGTCCTTGACCTCATACTCCCCACGGACCTGGAGGACGACGAGCTGAGAGTCGCTTCGAACCCGGATCGCGGTGATGCCCATCTGGTGAGCTATCCGCAACCCCGTCAACAAGGTCTCGTACTCTGCCTCGTTGTTGGACGCAGAGAAGTCGAACCTAAGCGCATAGGTCAGTTCTTCCCCCGTGGGCGAGGTGAGCAGCAGGCCAGCTCCGCTCCCTTCCTTGCTCGAGGCGCCATCCACGAACAGCACCCACGGCTCCTCAGCCGGGGTGTCCGGGGGTGTCGGGGTTAACTCGGTCAGGCTCAAGTCAGCCCCCTCAGCAAGGAAGTCTGCCAAGGCTTGAGACTTGATCGCGGTGCGAGGCCGATAAGTGAGGTCATGCTCGGCCAGTTCGACGGCCCACCTGGTCATCCTGCCCGAGACCTCGGGTTTAGTGAGTATCTGGCGCAAGAACTGGTCGGTCAGGACTACGATGCTGTGAGTTTGGAAGTAAGGGCGGAGCTTGCGAGTGGCGTGTACCAAGGCAAGGACCAGCTTTTCCGCGGGCGTGTACCTCGTCTCTGGCCCCTGTAGGGCACGGCTAATATAGTACACCGGTCTCTGAGCCCCCCTGTCCTCCCGCACCAAAATCGCGCTGATGGCCTCGTTGCAGGCGGACAGGTAAAGGAACAGAGTCTCTCCTAGCTCCGGGGCGGTCAAAGTGGGCAGCTCAGCCAGATAGGCCTTCAGGTCGGTGAAGGCTTTTTGGCACTCCTCCGTCCAGTGAAAGTCCTTAGACGCTTTTAGCACTCGGAAGAAGGGCAGCCCCCTGACCGCGGAGCGCGAGAGGAACCTACTCAGGGCGGCCATTCTCCCTGTGAGCCGCTGGACTTCCTTCACGTTCCTTGGAGGATCCATGTCTATGATAGCCTGTAACTTATCCGGGTTGGCCCAGATTCCGTCTCGGGACACCAGAAAATCGAGAAACCTTCCCGATCTGACCCCAAAGGTGCATTTCTTCAGATTTAAGCGCATCCGACTCTTCAGTAGGATGTCCAAGATCTCCCGCAGGTCGGGTATGAGCCGCTGGTCAGTTCGACTTTTGACGATCATGTCATCGACATAGACCTCCATGCTTCTGCCGATCTGGTTTTGGAACAACTTGTTGACCAGGCGCTGGTAAGTGGCTTCCGCGTTCTTCAACCCGAACGACATGGTCCTGTAGCAGTAGGTTCCCTCCTCGGTGATGAAGGAGGTCTTGTCCCGATCCTCCTCAGCCATCTCTATCTGGTGATATCCCTTAAAGGCTTCCAGGAAACACAAAACGTCAAAACCCACAGTAGAGTCTACTAACCTGTCGATTCTAGGCAGGGCAGGCTTTGTTAAGGTCCGTGAAGTCTACGCACATTCTCCAGGTCTGATCGTCCTTCCTGATCAGAACGGGATTGGCCAGCCAGGTCGGGTAGTAGACCTCCAGGATGATCTTGGACTCCAGCAACTTGCCAACCTCCGCCTTAATCACCTCATTCCTCTCGGGGGCAAAGCTCCTTTTCTTCTGCTTCACTGGTTTGAAGTTAGGGTCCACGTCGAGGTGATGGACTGCCAGGTCTGTAGGGATCCCAGGCAAGTTCTCCACCGTCCACGCGAAGACCTGGGAGTACTCTCTCAACAAAACCTTCAAGCCTTCCTTCTCCTCGGCTGGCAGCAATGCCCCGATGCGGATGACCTGATCGGGCCGATCCTCCTTTAGGGGGAACTCCTCAATCTCATCCTGGGTGCCCAGCTGTTGGGCCTCATCTCCTGGGATGTAGGGCTCCAAACAGGTTGTCTGGGTGACCACCTTCTCCTGCCCCCGGAGCGTGGCCAGGTAGCAAGGCCGGGCTACTTCTGGGTCGCCACGCACCTCGGCTATCCCTCCATGGGTGGGAAACTTGACGCTGAGGTGGAAGGTAGAGGGAATAGCTCGGAGGACGTTTAAAGCAGGTCTCCCCAAGAACACATTTTACGGGGACGACTGCTTGACCACCACGAAATTAACGGGAACGGTCCGGCATTTGGGAGCCTGTCCTACTGTGACCATCAGGGTGATCATCCCTTCCGAACTAATGGGTGGTCCGGTGAAGCCCATCAAAGGCGTCCGGACCGGGGTCAGCTGGTCATCCCTTAATCCGATCTCCTTGAACACCCGATAGAACATAATGTCCACCGCGCTACCCTGGTCGACATACACCTTCTTCACCCGGTATTTGTTGGTAACAATGTCTATCACGAAGGGCTCGTGGTTCCCGGAAGCCAGGGGGACCGCATCCCTTGGTCCGAAGGTAATCTCCTCGTCCATGCGCAAGCGCTTCAAGGAGTCGTCCCCTTCGGGAGGTGGTCGTTTGTTCTTCCGAGCTGCATGACTGTCCCCCCCGTGGAACCTCCGGCGATGGTGTTTATCACTCCCGCCAGGTTTTGGGTGTCCTGGTCGGGAGAGTGGCCCCAAGGAGCGTCACGCCGCTCAGGACGGTCGCGTCGCCGTCCCTCGTGCCTATCTCCGTAGTGGTTGCGCCCGAACTCCTGACCTGGTCGGCGCACGAACCTCCCTAGAAAACCGCGATGGATCAGGTCTTCTATCTCCTTACGCAGGGCCCAGCATCCCTCCGTGTCGTGCCCGACGTCGCGGTGAAAGGCGCAGTACCTGTCTTGGTTTCTTTTGTTCCGGGGCTTCCCCATCTTGGGCGACCGATCTCCCAGTCCTTCCGCCTCCATAACCGCCAAGATCTGGGCTCTGGGCCGTGTTAGAGGGGTGTAGGTCTTCTCTGGGAGTGGCGGCAGAGCAGGGGCCTTCTCCTTCGAGAGCCGGTCGAAAACGTTTTTCTTGGACGGGACGTCCTTGCCCTCTGGGGGATTTGTCCGACCTTTCCGATCTGATTCTTTCTTCAGACGACCTGCCTCCTCCGCATTAGCGGTCTCATGCGCCCTGCGTAAGAGCTCCTCCAGGTTTACGGGAGGCTTCTTGGCCAGGTCGTAGAAGAGCTCCTCTACCCTGAGCCCATTTGTGAAGGCGGTCATGACCACTTTTTCGTCTTTGTCCCTGACCTGCAGGCTCTCCGAGTTGAAACGGGTCATGAAATTCCTCAGCGACTAATCGGGCCTCTGTCTGATGGACATCAGGTGAGTTGCGTTCCTCGCGTAGACCTTCGAGGAGACGAACTGGGCTGCAAACTGCCGGGCCAGCTCAGGAAAGCTCCGTATAGACCCCGGTTTCAGCCCCTGGAACCAGAGCCGCGCCTTCCCCTTTAGGAACATAGGGAAGGTATTGCAGCGGACCTCATCCGCGGCGGTTTGTAGGCGCATATGCGTCAAGAAGACCGAAAGGTGGTCCTCCGAGTCTGTAGAGGCATCGTACATCTCGATGCTCGAAATCTTAAACCTCCGGGGTAGGGGGTAGTTCTCTATCTCTCGGGTAAAAGGCGAGATTGCGTAATTGTTCTCGTACTGCCGGGGCCTCAAGATCTGCTCGAGGTCATCCCGAGCAGGGTCCAAATAAAGGAGGTCCCGGGGTCGGCTCTTGACGGACCGAGCAGGGGAACGCTCGAGCCCATTCCGTGCGGGCTTCCGTGAGGAGGGCTCTCTCGGACGGCTCCTCACGGACCGGTCGCGGGAATACCTCTCGCTGTCTCGGACCACCGAGGCTCGCGGGCGAGGTGGACTTCGTGGTCGTTTCCTTCTGGGGGGCTGGTCTCGGGACTCATCCTCCGAAGGGTCAGGGGGTAACTCTTTCTCCTTCCCCTTGGCCTTGGAAGTCTGCGCACCCCCAGCCCCATCTCCCTCCTTCGCCTGTCGAATTATGTCCTCCAGCATGGGGAGATTCTCCGTCACGAACTGAAAAATCTGCTGCCTCCGTTCCCCTGAGAGGGCTGATCCCCCGGCTCCCTGAGACACCTCAGCCTCCTTCCGCGGGGACCCCTCACCGCCCCCAGGGCCGGTGCTCTCTATCGTGCGCTTGGATCACGTCCTGGCCATCAACACAATCTTACTTACCTTACGGTTCCCACAGACGGCGCCAACTGAAGAAGCACGGAACTTTCCCTGGGAGAGCTGACCTGATCAGCTCGGCGTGCTGATGGAAGAGCTGATCCTAAGCCTGCAAAACAGAAAGGGTGAGCTGACAGAGGGGGCCCGAGGGTTGTCCCCGAGGGCGCTCCGACAACCAAGTTAGTTTTCCGGTGAGTAAGGTTCACGGGAAGTAGTGATAGCCTCGGGTAAATTGCCAATAGTGAGCGTACCTTGTACAGTTGACGTGTGCTACCATTTATACCTGCGAGAGAATCCGACCTCCTTATGTCTCGGGACCTGAAGAAGCACGGATTAGTCGGTATCCCGCACTCAGGGGGATTGTCCCCGACCTCTTCGGGATGAACCCTTGTCCCCTCGAGAGCCCTAGTGGTGCGGCTCAAGTCGGCTGCCAGGGGCCAGGGGCCGAAGCCCAACTCGGCCTTGTCTGGGCTGCCACGTGTCCAGGCCCAGGACGGGGCCACTGCACTGCCCAAAGGCTTTCACTACAAATTACGAGATCAAATATAAGCCCACTTAAAAAAATTAAAAACTTGTCTACAACTTTCTTAATCCACTAGCAAAAGCTAATCGAGGCCATCACCACCTATACGGCTAATTTCTCAGAATATATGTGAAAAAAGAAATGCCCGGCAAATATAGCTTTGACACGGGAGTGGTATAAACCTATAGCTGCCGGGTTGATTAGGCACGGCAGCGATTCTTTTTTGTTTTAAGGCAGTAGGCTACTGCGTTGACTGTGTGCGATAGCCAGCGGAGTTTTTTCAACTGTCAAATATCAATCATTCGGTCCCTCTTACTTTCAACTATCAATTTCAATTTTATTATTTATATTTGCCATTCTCTCCTTATTTAATTTAATGAAGAAATTCTTTTATTTTTTGTCCATTGTTGTCTATTGAATCAGCATTTGCTAATATTTGTAATAGAATGTTAAGAAAGAAAGGAATCGAGTAATTAAATAACAAGCCTTCAGGGATTAGACATTTGAAATGAGAGGGAATGGTGGCGAGTATGGTAGTTTAGGTGACGCTTGTGAATCTAGTGATACATAATATGGGATGAAGGAGAGAGAGGTGAAAGGAGGCATACGATAATTGGGAATGATTTGATGGTTGTAGTGGTATGGTATCTTTCTTTATTAATCTACTAATTAAGTGAAGGACGTTTCTCTCATACTCAACACTGCTCCCTTCAATATGGATCAGCTATGGGAACCAAGTTAGAGAGATAGTTGGGGTTTCTTGTTTTTTTCCCCTTGTTTTTTTTGGGGTGTTGTTAATGGGATTCATAGGGTTTTAGAAACTTGAATTAAAAGTGGAAAAAAATGTCGGTAAATGTTGCATAATCACCGTGGATTAATTTCTTTAAGCAGGTGTTGATGGTGGTGGTTTGCATATTTGCATATTTTTTAACCAAATAATTTGTTGAATTTCAGATATTTTGGTTTTAGTAAGAACTTGAGAGAAACCTTTGATGTTAAGGAAGTATGGGTTCTTGGTGTAATAAGGCAGCTGAAGATTGGTGGTGAATTTGCCATGTACGAGGGATCCAAGCCCGTCGGGGAGCAAGAATGAACAATTGAGAAAGAAAAATGGAGACTTGTTAAACAAACGAAAAGGAATTGCTGAAACTAATTACCATGAAGGGGGGGGAAGTGATACTATGAGTATGATTCCCTTCAATATGTTTGGTCAGACAGCGATATGGGTATCATTCCATCATTATATAATTGGTTAGGATTTGGGGCGACAACGGTTATAAGAAGTAACCGTTTCGGAAGGTTACAAAAAAAATGTAACGTGTAGATTTCATCTTGTATATCGTTATCACGTGTGAAAATTACAAAATTTTGTTTTATAATTATATATTGTGTAAAATGAGTTACATCTTGTGTAAAATACACAAATCGGTCCAAATGATTTCTCTGTCGATTGTTCCTACCCCAAATCCAATTGGTTGTTTGGTCTGATAGTGAAATGGATATGATTATAAATTTGTTTGTTTGGTTTTTCAGTTTAATGAAGAGGTATCTTACATAAGTCAACTTTTGAGCATTACAAAGATTTCCTCTCATAAGGAAAGGACATGTCAAGCTACTACTAGGCCTTTGGCTTGGTGATCACCATCAGTCTTGGTGGGTGGGAGGCAGGGTTCAACCCTGACTTCTCATCAATTGCCACTTTATATGGTAGTCTTAATTGATTTTTTTCGATAGAGTT